GGGGGGGGAACGAGTAGGACTGAGCAACACGATGAACAGATGGGAAGGCATGGCCAACCATTCAGACGATAGTGCAAAAAAGAAAATGTAGTTTCCAGTATTATTTCCTGACGAACTTCCCGATTACCTATCAAATTGGAAGCTTCCTCATGGCAAAATTGTGACTTCATGGCAATTGAAACTTTCCTTGCGCCTAAGTGCTTGGCTCCTGGAGCCTATGATGAAAAACGCGTATTCTTAGCAGCTAAACCTAAATTCTTATCCATTCCAACCTCTGGACGTGGAATTGCGAATTGTTTGCTTTTGCCGGGAGTGCTTTTTAAAAATCAGCACAGCCATGGAATCCTCAAACAAAAATAAACTCACTAACACTACCTGGCTTGAATAGCTACTTGAAATGCGAGTCTCCAGGTGAATATTTGTCCGTTACAACAAGGAGAAATTTCCTCTCAAGGCTTGTCGAGCACTTGGAAAATGCTATAAAGACCTCAATCCTAGACTAGAGACAGTTGGACACGATGAATAAACATGTAATTCTTGATTCGATTTATTCCTTCAGTGCATTAGAATGGCTCATACTACTTCTAAACTGAATCAATTAGCAAATAAATTGAATAAAAAACATTTTAACACACAAAAAATAAAAATTTGATAACAAAACAGGCATGAACTCGTAACAATTTAATTTGACTCTTACGATTGGCTGATCAAACCAATGATCCGAGTTCACAAAATCTTCACTTAATTGGCAACTTAGGCTGCATTCATTTGTCAGACAATGAGGCATCATTTCAAAAAGATCACCAATTTCCATTGAATATGACTCTTTGTAATTGGGGCTCTTGTATTCACAAGTGGGAAAAAAATCGTGAGAGGTGATGGAATTTGCAAAGGGATTAATAAACGTTTAACAGAGAAGGTTGGTCCAAAGTTCATGAAATAACGCAAAAAAACCACCAAAGGAGCTGAAGAAAAAGTATTTTACAATATTTATATCTTGGTCATTCTAGATGTTCAATTGAGAAAATTTCACCCTCTTGTTCCATTTTGATCAGCTTTAATCAGGAGGGTTGTTCCATAGTATACACTGACCATCTATCTCGCAACCTCTGATCTGGAAGACGTGCACGTCGAACATCCAGTCATTTATAAACAAATAATAGAATTATTGCTCCCACCACCAGGCCTCCCAGGGATGAGAAACTCGAATTCTGCCACTTTCCTTCATTAACCAGACTTTTTTTCATTCTACTCATTGACTATGCACTGACAAACATCGATTTCTTATCTTTTCACTCCTTATGGAGAGACACCAATTTGAAACCACTGATTGGCATTCATTAATTCGAATGTGTAATTAACCAAAACATCGAATTCGCATGTATGGATTGCGAGTTATCATTAACATTCTACAGTGAGCAGGTTTGAGCCTGAATCCTCAAAAAACATGAGCTTGAAATCCACCCACTGTTTGAAATGAAAAATCAAGCAGCAGCCGCCGTCCAAAAGGAACGGGAATAGTGCCATTGGGAAGTAAGAGCGGATCTTTTAAAATTGCACATCGAAAAAAACACAACAAACTACGGCAAATCAAGCCAAAGTGAACAAAATTTTTTTTGGGGGGAAACAAAGCATACACGAAAAATCACAAACTGCAAAAATAGCCCGAACAGTCTTACCACATAAGGTCTATCAACAATGAGGCTTTCCTGATAGTAATACTGATGGCAAAATAAAACAAAATACAGTCTAATATTTTTAAAGCAAAGTTAAGCACAATAAACAGCAATTAGGCAGCTATATGAAACTGAATCCAATTAACCCTAAAATGCTCGAGCGCGCACACACACATACACCGACACATTTATAGGATACAAATAGGAGTGAGGGGAGAAGTCAAGAAAGACCAACAAGCAAAAAAATCTATGATCGAATCAGAAAAAATGGAACAGGTTCATCAACTTGTCTTACCGTGGGTTGGCCAAGACCAGGCTGGGGAGCGTAATACTATACATAGGGAGAAAAAGAAATCAAAGTCGAAAGTGCCTACTCAAGTTCAATAAGTAGGGTGAATTTTAAACTATAAAAAGTTAAAAAAGACGAGTAAGTTTACCATGGTTGATTGAACTTGGGCAGGATAGTGTGGAACTGTGTGTTGCTGATTTGGCGGTGGAGGACCTTGCTGTTGGGGTACCTTGGCCTGCTGTTGGGAAACCTGTTGAGGTGGTTGTTGCTGAGCCACGACACCGGCTTTTGCCATACCTTGTTGCTGTTTGTTGTCGTCCTGATCGTCATCGGTAATGAACTCGCGTTTAGGATAGGGTATCGGCAATCCACCAAACACGCTGCACAAATCAAGAGATCACGGTAATAAACAATTTCTATGCGCACAAAGTGATACTACTACTACTACTATTCAGTAATCTAATAATGCCAAGTAAGTGACATAGCTACCTACTTTGTACAAAGAATACAAATGGAACAAACCCAAGGCTGTACGTCGCATAATTGCGTCTTGATTATTTTACGCATTCTGCTCAAATATTTGCTTTTACTCTCCATAATTTTACTTTCAAGTGAAGCATGCTGAAATCCTTTCTTCAGTATATCTCAGCTCAAGTGCGGCTCAGTTAAAGTAGTGGGTAAAGTGAAAAAGGTTCACTTTTGTAAGCCACTATTTCAGAGGAGTATGAGATAAATATGCCTGAAAACGGCGTCTCTTCCTAATTGCGGATTACAATATATGAAAAGCTAAAAGAAGGAGCTCTATTTCGAACCAAGTTACTTCGAATTTACGAATCTCTTACCAAAAAACTTTTCAACAAGGGTGCCAAAACGAGCACCTGATAAAAATGAAACCGATTGATGTTGCACGCATAATATCCGCGATTATCCCTAAAATTTATAAGACCTTTATAGCCCATCTTAAACCTAGAACAACGAATTCGTCCAGAAACTTCCGCTATTTACTGTTAGTTGTCTGGTTAAACAATGTGAAAGAATTCCCTTCACCCCCCCCCCCCCCCCCCCGCCTCCTGAACACGAAATTTTTACCCAAAATAGAAGTAACCATCAGTCTCCTGACTTTGGGGTGCAGTAGAGCTGGTAAATTTATCCGGATGGGATGGCTAGATATAAAACTGTTCCAGATTTAGAGGTTAGTTAGGACATCCTAGAAACAATATAAAGTTCCAACTATGTCCCTCGACATGAGGGAAATAACTAAACGCGTGAGTGGAAAACATACTCGTCATTAGGTTTATCCCCCGTTTTGAAGTAATCGTGTTCCAATGCTTCTTCTGCAGAAGGTCTTTTGGTCGGATCCATAGTGAGCAACGATTTGAGCTATTAAAAGCCAAAAAAAGAAATGTGTTACAACTTCGGGCTCAAAAAAACAACAACTTGAACTACAAGCCTAAGATATACTCACGAGAGAAACTTCATTCGGATTCATATTAACTTTCTTCTCCATCAGATAGCCCTCGAGATAATACTTTCCGTAGGTCTTCCGGGTGATTGAATCACGACTGAGTTGGGGGAAGTCTGGCATGGTTCGCATCTCAAGCCATGTCTCATCTATGCGGAAACAAAATGCGTGTTGAGCTAATTATTTACTACTGAAATAGGTGCTAAAAATGTCGGATACGTGATGACCTATAGAAAAAAAAAATATTTATAGATGCCGATGGAAAAATTGAGTGTGGCTGTCTGCTAATGTTAAAGGATACTGCGAAGGAGAAAAAGTAAGGCAAATTCACCTCAAATGAAACGAAGCGTATCGAAACTTTCGGCACGACGTTGACGTCAGTCTCAATGCGAATCTCAAGGTTTTTTTTAAAAAAAACCAACAGCACATTCCTCCAAGTAGCAACAAAATAAAACCTCCAACCCTTCGGAACTCCCCCTCCCGCCAAGAGGTTTATTTACAGATAGGCATTCGCCTGTCCAAATGGAATAAAACACACACATTAGTGGGAAGGATCTTAAGAATTGTAAATTATACAGATCCCTCTCATCCAATACCCCCCCCCCCCCCCCCACTTCCTGAATGGCCACATGATATTAGAGTTAGGAAAACTTTATTTTCTTAAAGATTTAATGTCAATGGGACCTAAAGCAAATAATATAAGCTGCGAGATTGCTAAAAGGTAGCACTAATCAAAAGCCCCCTATTACCCATAACCAAGAACATCAAGGAACTCCACAGTGAACAGAGGTTTCAACATTATACGCAGAACTCAGGGAGAAGCATACCATTAAAGATACACCTACGCATACCACTAAACAGTGAGATTAGAAAATGAGTATGAAAACCGAATCTTTAAACCAACTCAATTCAGTTAAGCATTGAAAAAAAGCGCGAAATGAAGGATAGGTGCTGATGCCATAGAATAGACCAGACAAAAGAGATTCCATCATCAGCAAAAAAACCCACTATACACCAAAACACTAAATTCCAGAAAGATGAAATTTTAAACGCAATAACTAACACTTCAAGAATCATGTAATGATGGTGGAACAATTTCTAGATGATTCGTACTACAAGCAACAGATGTACTATGTGAAATTTACCAAGAGGTGCAATACTTACCAGACGGATAACCCATAACCCGAAAGATCCTTTCCAGCTGTTCCTTATGATACGGTGTGCTGGTCTTGATATCCTCTTGACGACAATGGAAAATTGGTTCAAAGGTTAAGAGTTCAGCAAATATGCATCCAATAGCCCAAATATCGATCGCTTTGTTGTAATGTCGAGCGCCTAGTAACAACTCCGGGGCCCGATACCAAAAAGTAACAACAACCGGATCTAAATCTGCGAGAGGCTTGAGAGGAGAGTAGAAGATTCTAGAAAATCCCAAATCGCCAATCTTAACACAGCCGCGTTCGGGTCCCTCGCCCATGACTACAATATTTGCCGGTTTCTAGACGGAATCGATTACTAGTGAAGATCAATTAATGTCTTACCAGATCACGATGAAGAACCCAGCATGAATGGATGTAATGAATTCCATTTAAGATCTGATACATAAGACTCTTAACCATATTCTGGGAAACATTAAAATAGGTTTTATTGCCTTTCGCCGTTCGATGAAATTTGATAATGTGCCAGAGATCGTATTCAGCATAGTCAAATAGAAGCCATATCTTTCGACTCGTGTGGTTGAGAAATATTCGATGCAGTGTCATGACGTTTCGATGTTTTAACTCTCTCAGAAGCTAGAAAATGACGAAATAAAAAAATGGAGAAACCTACTCCAATTTCGCGACAGGAAGACATGGAGAGACCAGTGCCTTCAATCTGTTTAAGAGCGTACTCTCTGTCGTCTGAATTATCCTTTCGTTTTGCCTTGAATACACTTCCATAGGTGCCACGACCGACTTTGCAGCCTTCAAAATCAAATATATCTTCAACGCGTTCGCGTTTAACATCTAATTCGCGTTTAAAGCCGATATCTACCATTTTTTCTGTAAATTATTAAAGTGAAAAGAAAAAAACAAGTGAGAATAAATGAAGAATGGTGAGGGAAAATATATTGAGACTGTATAGTAGTGAAGCTGTTAGCTAAATAAGCAATGTGGGAACTACATTAAAGTTTGGACAAATCATTTTCGGATATAGACACGGTATTAATATAAAATAACTTACATTTATATATTAAATTAAAAAACACCTTCGAAATATTTGTTTATAGCGAAGCCAAACTTGTAAGCGACCGACAAGGTTATTTAAGGTCACGTTAGAATTGGCATAATAAGAAGTGCTTGTTTAAAGTACTGGAAAATACAAAATGCGTTTCTCTTATTTCCAACGTGATTTTAAGTAACATTTTTAACGATGCATAATTCTCTTATTTTAACTATATGTGCTGCTTTGCATAACTTTTGACTTAAACAGGATTTTTTCAAATTAGACCATTCAGCGAATTACCACCAAATTCCTTATTTTTAAAGTTATTTTTGTTGTTGATGCATGGTGCATCAATTTATTATTATTCACTAATGTTTCAAGACGTAGTCATCTGTATGTTGATCTATATTTCAAGAGATGTTAGAGCCCATTTATGATTACGGGAAGACACGAATTCAGGAATGACAATAAATTTTTAAGCAGCATTAATGCATTTTAAACTTTATTTGCATTTATTTTTAAATATCATTAAAATTTAACAATTGAGCATCTCATTCATTCATTACAAACTTTTTCATTGAAATGTATTTTCTCATATTCATAGATAAAAGTGACGTATCTAATTTTATAATGAGTCTGCGATTTTTAGGCTATTTTAAATAAGTAATTAAAATATCCAAGTGCTCTTGATATGCTTTTGAGTCAATGCTGATAAATATACGAAAATTAATGGACTGTAATTTGGAATAATATAGTTAATAAAAGTAAATGCAATTCTGATTTATCCCAGTTATTTACATATTTCGAAGAAAATTATAATGGATCGTTGCAGATTAAGTTTTATACACCAAAGGAACTATATTGCTAAATCGTCATAATTAGTAGGGAAATACATTTTGGTAGCAACTTCTCATTCATTTTGAAATTTTAACTAGGAAGGTTTATTCTGGCTCATTTTAATCAACCAAAATTTGGCCTATTTAGTTGGAAGTTTTCATGACTGTCAACTGTATTTATTTGTTTATATCAAACGGCAAGCGTTTTGGTAGTTATCATTAGCTCTTTGGTTGACTTCGTGTTTCATCACGGGGGGGGGGGACATCAAAGCGGGAAAAATTTGAGAGGGGGAACAGAAGAGTGATTTAAAAATGTAAATGAGAAAGACATAAAGGCAGAAAAAATGGTAAGGGGAGTACTGTGGAAGTGTTCGAATATGACGCAGTGGGGTGTTGGTAGTTTGAAATCAGAAGTCAACGATCAGTTGATAGACTTTTGCCGTATGAATATACGTTGCCCAGGGTGCACTACGTGGAGGTAAGTCTATCGCAAACCCCATTGTCAACTGAATAATTTGTGTCAAATAAGACATTTTACTTTCGGAATTCGATTTCACCAATAATATGAATTTATAAATATTATAATTATTACTTTTCGATTACCTGAGAAATCGAGCTACTTACCAGTTCAAACCGGTAACAGCACGTTACAGCCAACTCAAACTAAAATTTAATAATTGGAGTTTGAAAGAACAAGTTATATTAATTGCCATTTATAACAGTGATAAAATGAACGATATCGTTTTAATAAAACGACAAATATGGTGAACAATACAGAATTACAGATTTAATAACACTTCCCGTGGAAACAACTATTTTCTTATATATACCAACAAATATGTAATTGTCGAAAACACGATTCTATCTAATAAGATTCTAAGCACTGGTTTTTTAACGGTTTTAAGCAGAATATGTTCAATCTTAGCTAGAAACGTAAATTACTTTCCCGTCAAATCTTTTAACGTCATGTGCAATATAACAAATTCTAAAATAGGTGTATTCATCAAGAATTGCAACAATTTTGAAAATCATGCAGTGTATTTGAGCGTTATGAATTAATATACAAAACTAACAAAACTTTCCTGAATAGAGTAGTAGAATGTATTTGCGGCGTGATTGAGCTCCAATCTTAAAGTCTTAATAAGCCCCAAAATATAAATAGAAAAATAGTGGTAGACACCATTCCTATCACCAGATATGTATTTGGTTAAAAGAATAAAAAAGATACAAATCATAAGTACGTAAGAATATTATCAGTACCAACAAGCTAACAGCGCATCAAAGGCAGGGAAAGTTGATAACTGTGAAAACACAGACGGCTGATGTGCTAGGCAGAGGGTGAGAAGGGAAGGGAAGAGAGAGAGAGGGGGAGAGAGAGTATTGCCCTTTAAATGTCGGAGAAAGCAAAGTCACGCATAAGAGAATCAGTTTTCTGTTCACGTACAGCTGCATCTTTGAGTTGGCGTAACTGCTGCTCGAACACCGTCCATTCTTCACCCCTGGCCAGTGCAATTTTCTAGGTGGAAAGCATAACATCCTTGAAGATTATTTTAAATCATTTTGTGGAACAAAATATCTTATCATCCATTTCTAAAAAAAGTTTAGAAAAAAACAGAAATATAATTCTTTTAATATTGACTCAAGGAATATATACACATGCCAGTATTAATAAGAAAGATATCAGTTTTCAGGAATATTTCTCGAAAGAAGCAAGAGCATCTTATATAAAAAAGTTATGTAATGTAACAAAAATCCCGAAAATTTTTTATAAAAAATTAAATTTATTACAAGCAAGAACCTCCGCATTCTAAACCCTTGTTTCGTCAAGTAACCAAGCAAAAAATGTGAGTTTGTTTATAAATCGCCTTCACCACAAAAGTGGAATTTTCAAAAATTGTTAAAACAAAAAAAGAAGATTTGAATTTTGGCAGAAATTGAATTAGCAAAATTCGGTCGTATTACAACGTCAAATATAACTTTTCACAGGAGCTAATTCCTTCCAATGTAAATAGTAACAAATGATCAATAAAAATTACTTTTATTTGTTTGGGAATTTGGGACGCAGAGGTTTCGAAAAACGCTATATTTCCAATCAACACATTCCGATTTTAACTAAAGTTAGTCTATTAAGACCCAAATAAACGAAAATTACCCCCCCCCCCCCCCCCCCCCAAATAAAATTACTGGATATAGCGTGGAGCCAACTTAATGCTTACTGATATTTCCTTTCAAAAAAGGAAACTCTATAGTTCCTGGGAGTAAATAAATGCTTAACCACATCCGGATATCTCATACTTCCAGCCGAGGGTTAAGCGGAAAATGGTATTCACATTTTAGCAAAGGGAGCGAAGCAGTTCAAATAACTTAGCTAATTTTTGTTATTCTCTTTACAAATTTAATGCACTTATTATGCAGTACGAGGAAATATAAAAGCTTAATTTTCAAATCATTGATAGGATAAAATGAAATGACATTTTCTAGATAACTAGAAGCAAATGCAAAACGACCGACCCTACTAGTGTAAATCAAACGTTCCAGGCTTGAATGGTACAATTAAGACGAGAGGTTATGAAACGGGTTTATAAAAAATGGAACTACCACTAATGATTTAGACGAATGAGAATCGATTACAAATAGGGAGCTTATCATTGAAACTAAGCATGATCGTGCGGTGCACCTATGGGCGATCTGCATTGTGGCCCTACGTCAGTCTCTGCTTTTTCATGTACAAGTACATCCTATCACCGAGGAATTATGCTGTGCCTAAAGCACTGTTATTACCATCCCAGACAATGGAATACCATGTTATCGTTGACATCATAAAAATTGTTACAGTTCAATGATCATGAATCTGTACAAAATAGGTAATGGCGTAGATAAACTACTAAAAACGTACGTATTAGTTTTAAAAATGGAGACAGGCAACTAAATTAGGAAATTAAGGAGGTATAACAATTTTTCACATCGATTCTGATTGGCAAATAGACATTAAGCTTAGCTAGTTATCTCCTTACCAAACAAACTACTATGAATCCATAGTAAACAACTGAGAAGCTGGGATCGTACCTATACTCAAACACAACCCTATACAAGCGAGACGAAAGTTGTCATTGTAAAAAGAGAGCTGCTTCCTCCCACTCTTATCTCCCATAATATTTTGTGCCTCGCTCCCCCCC